TTGTTGCTGTCTGAGGAATTAAAAAAGCAGCTTTTCTTAGTTCTAATGCAGACTGGTCCTACAGATACAATAAACCCATACTGAGATATGTATATGATTCAGAAGTGATTTTATGAATGTCATGAAGCATGTAAATTATCCCCTCTGTAGGAATATCGACCTGTGTGAAGTGCCCTGTACTCAGCAGTGTTGAGGCTGCACCTTGAATCCTGTGTTCAGTTCTAGGCCCCTCACTACAAGAGAGACATTGAGGTGCTGGAGAGGGGACAGAGAAGGACAACAGAGCTGGTGCAGGGCCTAGAGCACAAGTGTGATGGGGAAAAGGCTGAGGGACCTGGGGGGTTTAGTCTGGAGAAGGCTCATGGGGGACCTTATCGCTCTCTACACCTGCCTGACAGGAGGATGGAGCCAGGAGGGGGAGGAAATGGCCTCAAGCTGTGCTGGGGGAGGTTCAGATAGAGAAGAGGAACAACTCCTTTCCCGAGGGGTGCTCAGGCACTGGAACAAGCTGCCCAGGGTAGTGGCAGAATCACTGTCCCTGGGAATGCTCACACGCCATGTAGATGAGGCCCTCAGTGACATGGGTTAGTGGTGGCCTTGGTAGTGCTGGGCAGTGGTTGGACTTGGTGATCTTAAAGGTGTTTTCCAATCTCATTGATTCTGTGCTCGTAGAAGGCTCTGGGTGGCTAAGTGTGGCAAAGGTTCTGCCTCATTTACAAGTACTTTTGTGTGCAGACAAAAGTCTAGAAGCCTTGGAGGAAACTTAGCAGAAGCAGTGATTTCTCAGTAGTCTGTCCTCATGTATGTTACCAGAAAATACCAAAGGTGATTTTGACTAGAGAAATTGGGATGTGCCCCTTATATATATATATATATGTAGCACACTTCCTCATGTCTCTAGGCTTGAAGGGAAAAATGTTTGGATTGTTTTGGATTTGTTTGCAGTTGGTGATGCAGTTCTGCACGGTTGGAGCCGCTGTTCTTTTGTTCCTGTTTACTGTGTTAAAAACAAACTGTTATCTGAAGACAAAATAGGTGGTGACAAATGTACGATAAGGCATGCACACATGTTTAAATAGAAATCTGTTGGAAGATTTAGAGAGCACTGTATGTTTCAGATGTCTTCCCTGGTGTTTTTTTCAGGGCCCCAGTAAAATGTCAGTGTCCTGTTGAAGTGGCTGACACTGGCTATTGTGTGAGCCCATATCTGCGCTGCTGCGACTTCATCTTTTATGTCAAATGAGCATTAGCTCTGAACAGAGTGAATTGGTTGGTTTCATTACCTATAAGGCGATATTTGGCCTATCTTGAATTCTGTATATGCTTCTGTGGGAAAGCTTGTAAATGTCCATAGTTTTGGGTTTGTGCCATTTTTAATAGATGAAAACTTGTACGTAAATTTTGTCCAGTCTGGAAGGTTCTCTTGGGACTTTTGAATTACTGTTGATGAAAGAAAGGAATAGTTAAATATTTGAAAACATCATTATGCTTATGAAAACAACAGATTTTCTCATTGTAATTTGAATAACTTGCACTTGACAAAACTGCCTTTTACTTAAGATTCAGCATTTGTCTCTTGAAAGTGTTAAATATTTTTGCTGTAACTCTTGGGTCTAGCTCAGTGGTCAAGGTACAAAAAGGGATTCTTGCAAAGGTCTTTTAAGATGCCAAAGGAAGTTCTAGTTTATTATTAGCACAGACATGCCGTATATAATGCAACATAATTTTTTTTGCTGACGTAAATGTAAATAATGAAAAACTTCTGAAAGAAATAAACCAGTGCAGAGATTATACTCAGTCAACATATTTCATAACTAGGCCACTGTCATTTGGATCTGCTGTTAAGGGCTGTATGTACTGGAACTGAAAGTTAAATATTTGTGTGTATGTGTATTTGCTGCCTCCCACACAGATGCAATTCTGACATGACCAAGTTACGCTGTTGTAATTTGAGGTTTGAAACTTGGGATGGAGAATGGTTCGAGTTTTTTGTTGTTGAGCTTGCATAAATCGATGTTCACATCCCAGGGTCTCCTGATTGATGTTGGTAAAATATGTACATCAATCCGCTGTCAACACTTGACTTCCTTACATGTTTGTTTTTGAAGAGAATACAAAGATTTAGGTTATTTTTGCCCCAGCTTTTCCAAAGTGCCTTTTCCTCACCACGTTATGATACTTGATAAGTGAGCGTTAGTAGTTGTTAATTTGAACAGGTTTTCTCATTTCATCCTTAGGAGTGATATAAATGAACCTCTTTTGGTTTTGACCCGAAGTGGATCAGAAACAGCCTTACGATGTATGGTGTCTCAGCAGCTACAGTGTTTTGAGCTGCTACTTCTCTTTTCAAGTGTATGTGGAATTAGGTCCACATTTATTTGTGACACAGATTATTTACTTTATATATGGCACCTTTCAAAACAACCAGCTCGCCCCACAGAGCCCAAACAAACCAGTAATTGTACTTATGAAAGAAATATATCTGATTTTTAGACCATTAGGGCATGTTTTAAGTTCAGTATGGGTTGCAGTGAGGTCCTTCAGCCTGGAGGTTACGTTCTGCAGGTAACTGAGGAAGTGACTGTTTAAAATAGCTGATCTAGGAACAAGATGTGCAAGCAAATGTTTTCCAAGGCAGGTCAGCAACATCCTCAGAAATGATGTGCCATTTATAGAAGTCAGTTTAGGACTAATGGGGCTTATTATCTTATGCTTGATGCTGGAGAAATATAATTATACTGCTTGTACAGCTGCTGTGGATCTGTAACAGTATATCTCTGCCTGAGATAATAATTCCTCTCAGAAGGTGAGAGAATGGTGTGAGGAGAGCTCTAGCCCAGCATCTGAAGTGTATGTATTGTCTGGATAGTCTCAGCCCTCCTTTTTCTTCAGCTGCCCCCTCTTAACTTTATATTATGGAACTTTCTACTTTTCCACTTTTACTCTAGTTTGGCTAAGCCTCTGAAAACAGTCTATGTTATTTAATACTTAAATTTCCAAAGTAATAATGGGAAAAGTAACATCGGTCCTTTCCAACCCTAACCATTCTATGATTCATAATGGAACAGAAGTGAGTTTTCAAGGGAGTTTTTTTAACCAATATAATGTTTTTATTTGTTTTTTAATGGATGTGTACATTGATACCTCTCTACCTAAGTGAACCAAAACCTGAAATTTGTGTTGAAAATTTAGAGAGCACCTTTATTTCTGAAAGTATTAAAAACTTGTTATTTCTATGATGATTATTGTTCTTGTTTTTATTATTGCCATCTGTCATTGTTACCCTGCTCTATAAACTCCGTAGATTTTAGAGAAAACTCTATAAAACCTACTTCCTGGCATAGAATTGAACTGTGTTAGTTTCAGAGTTGCCCTCAGATGGGGTTTGAGATGTATTTTTATTTTTTCCTTTCAAGGGTCTTTAGCCATGAGGATCAATTTCAGTTTTACCTATAGAATGTCGAAGCTTGGGCGTTAATATCCAGCGTGCATGCCTACATGTTGCTTTCAGTGACTTCTACATAATCTTGATTTGTCTCAATGACTTCTTATGTTGCTTTAGAAAGACTGACAGTTCTGTTTATAATGCAGTGAATTTGGAAATCAGTAAATATCGCACACAATAGAAATGCTGTACTATATTATTTCTTCAGTTGAAGCCTTGAAATGTAATTTCTTGTGTGGACAATTAAAACTGAATTAATTTAATTGTTACTAAAATTTGACACTGGGGTGTATAGTCCTGACCATAATGATTGTAGTTGGCTGCTGCTTTTTGTTTGGCTGATTTCGCTTTGGCAGACTCCCTTATACAGGTGCTCTCTTTTGAACTTTTAAATTCTTCTGTCTCCATGAAGTCTTATTTATGCTATTGCTCGATACTTTCTTCATTGTCCAGCTGCTGAATACACTTTTTTTTAATCCTGATTATGCTTTTTCCTGTTCTTCAAGTGATATACTCAAGCAAAATAGATTTCTGTCACACTTCAATCAAGAAAATACTTGCAAATCGGTTGAATACCCTCGCTATTCTTAGTACGATGAAATGGATTAAATCCCCCACGTTTCATTTATTTAATAACATTTCTGTGTAGTAGCAGTGAATTAGGCTACTGTGTTTGTTCCACACCCTTCACCCCAGTTAATTTTTTTTCCTTTTTAATGAAGAACTCACCCAAAACTTCTACAAGGTAAATTAGGGCATATCTTTGAAAAATAATTCGTATTAAATGGTATTTTGGCGCAAGAAAAGTTTGTTTTTCTAACTGTTCAGGTTCCTCACAGCCGCCCTCATTCTGCCTTATTTTCCTGCTGTGATTTTGTAGATGGCTTAGATATCTTTAATTTATTTCTTTTTTGTCCATTAGTCTCTGTATTCTGATGCAGGCAGAGCATAGGCCTGCTTGTGGAATATGTTTGTTTATCGGTAGCTATAACAAGTATAGGGTAGGGTTGTTTTGTCTTTTATTCCGACTTATTTTAATGACGGTTGTGAAAGTGAAGTGTATGTAGCTGCTACAAGTACTGCTTCTGTGTTGTGTTTAGGTTTTTCTTCTCATGTTGTTGCATTAATTTAATTTTGTTGAATTCTGATTGTGTAGCCAGGTGAATTTCTCTCAAATACAGCATATACTCATGGTGTTTGCACAAGTTGCATAGGACCGGATTTTCTTTAAAGGTAAGAAATGTATCTGATAAGTAGTGAGGAGAAAGGAATATATCTGTCCTATAGGCATACTTGTATTTTGCAGTTCTTCAATGGGATAAGCCATGTCTAAGAAAGTTTTAACGTCTTCTGTCAGCCTGTTTAGATGTAGAATCTTGATCGACTAACTCTAGATTATTAATGCACAGTCTTTACTATTTCACAGACTTCTGTTTATTCTGGAAGCATGGTGATAATGGTTGGTTTAAAAAACAAGTTTGTCAAAAATGCAGATACACTGGGAAAGCAGATAGGCTAAATTTTAACTGGGTGAATCTTTACTCTTTTGAAACAGGAGATCAGCAAAATCTCGAAGTAGAAGTCCATATTCATCAAGGCACTCGAGGTCTCGTAGCAGACACAGATTATCTAGATCCAGAAGTCGTCATTCAAGTATCTCTCCTAGTACATTGACTCTGAAGAGTAGCCTTGCTGCTGAGCTGAACAAAAACAAGAAAGCAAGAGCTGCTGAGGCAGCCAAAGCCAGTGCAAAAGCTTCTAATACTTCAACACCTACTAAGGGAAGTACTGATGCTGCAGTAAGTGCGCCTCAAGTGAACAATGTAAAGGACCTAAAGAAAATAAAAACTGAGCATACACCTTCTCCTACGAGCAGTGTGAATTTGAAGAATGACAAAGCAAAAGCAAAGGTCTCGCTTCCTGAAACAAAAGGGGAAAATAATTTAATTGCAGACAAAATTACTAAACAGAAACCTACAGCAGTAAAAGAGAATAAACTAGCTGTTGTAAAACAGCCACCCGTCACTGTAAAAGAGAAAAGCAAACCGAGTACACCAAGTGTAGTAACCAAGGAGAAGGAGCGAGTTGTTACGCTACCAACCTCCACACTGCCACCCTTGCCTTTGCCTCCCACGCTGCCTGAAGATAAAGAAACTGATAGGTGGGTTGTGGCATTGCTTTTTGGTGTTGTCTGTTCCTTTTCATTATTGCTGTTGTTTGGGTTTGTTTGTTTGTTCTCATTATTTCCCTTGGACAATGAATATAAACTTATTTGCTGAATCAGGCTGGTGCATTAGGTAGTACTTGCTCTTGTTTAACATGGAAACTTGGTGAAATGAAGGAATTTGATCTGGAAATGAAAATAATTGAACTCTTTCTTGAAAAGAGAAGGACTTCGTTAGGAATGTTTCAATAAAAAGTAACTAGAGAGGTGATTAAAAATTGCTGGTACATAATAGTTTTGGGACTAATGGAAGGATGCATTCAAGTTATCAGGATTTCAAGTTTGGTGCAAACATATACATTGGGAAAGTTGAATTTAGTAGCAATATGTGAATTCTTTAATTGTGTGAATTCTTTGATTAGCTGGGGCTTGAAGTAAAGATTCTCTTGCCTATGTGAGGCAATTGTTTTTATAGCTGTGTCTTATTTTAGTATAATTTATCTCAGAGATCGGTATCATTTTGAGTGTGTATAGCGGAAGTGAGGTTCATGACTTGTCATTGGTGTCACTTTACTTTTGAAGTGTAAAAATCGGTCTGTAGTGAAGAAATTCATGTCTATTCTGACTGCCATTTGAGTTTAGACGAAATTAAGTCTCCTCATAGTCTTAATGGAGAATCTGTGGTGTGATTTATATTGGAAAACTATGAGCCGTAATTTACTGGTTTTGTTTGGTGAACAAGTTTGAGGGGAAGTTACTTCTGGTTTTACTCATGGTCTTACATGCCTCACACATCTATACAAGAAAGCAACTTCTTAGAACAAGTAAACCAAAGTTTTTTAACATTGAAGTAATAACTAGCTTGTGTGATATGTCTTTGTAAGAAAACAAACTAAAAGCAAAATTCAGAACTTTTTGAAGCACTTTGTATTCCATATCTGAAACCAGCCTGTCTTTTCTTATTCTTTGAGAAGTGTGTAGTGTTTCTTTAGTTAGTAAAAGTAGTTATAACTAGAGGTGTAAATGTTTCTCTTGTATTTGCTGGTAATTTAATGCTACATTAAATGTTAGCATGCACAGGAAACCTTGGCAGATAAATCTAACCTAACAATGTATTATATATTTATTTATTTTAGTAGTAGAAGAGAAATTGTGTTTCTTTCCCTTCAGCACTCTAGCAAATGTCATTCCAGTTGTTCAGAAGCACATATGTATGGCAAATATGCTGCTGCATTTATAGTTATGACAAAGCTATCCTCCCTGGGTAAATGGGATTTCTGACACTGTTACTTGAGAGCAAGATTTACTGTTTTAGGTAAAAACAGGTCTGACTGGTTTAATAAGTATATATATGATTGGCATTGCAGTGTTAATTGCGATAAAATTAAATGAGATTTCAACTTGAAGCTGGCTAATTGCTTGTCATTGTTAGTGTTTTTTAATGTGATACCTGTTTTAAGCGTAGCTAAACTGCACGGAGGAGTTAAACTGCAGTTAAGCTATGGTTCTGTCAGCACTGGTAAGCTTTGCTTAGTTTTGCCTGTAGCATTTTATACACTTGGAATGGTTGAGATTACAAGTTGTGATAAAGCTTAAGTCCTCAAAGAAAAATGGTCTATGTTTTTTAGTGGCGATGAGGGCAAAGTGAGTTTACCTTAGGCTCAGAGATACTGTGCCAACAAAGAAAGCTTGATACTGTGCACAACTGTCTGGTTCATAATGTCATGTCAGTTGCCAAATTCAGCAAGGACCTGATGAACCCACAAATATGCTACCTAAAGAAACAACAGTGTTTCAGAACCACTGTGTGGGTTAGCTAAAAGAGAAGACTCTTCTGGTGGTCAGTGATGTGATTTCACAGTCCTGAAATAAAGGCAGCTTTTGGCTGCGTCTGTTTTTATGTGCCGATTTCAAAATCTGTTTCAGAACCACTCATATATTGTACTTTCGCTAATTGTGAAAGTTTTGGGTCCATATTTTGAGAGAAATAGAAATGTATGAACTTGAAAATCTAAGATTTGTTTTCTTTACCATGCACTGTGCAAAAGTGGTTCGTTCTGTATAGCATGTTAACCATTGTATTTGTGATGAGAGCAGCATATGCTTCCTTGAGGTTACTTGTTTAAATTCAGGTAGTGGCAGCTTGAGAAGTGGTGGAAGACATTCAGGTGTTCTGTTTTCATGGGGAAGCATGGACGTGTGCAACACGCTGGACTGCTTTATTTAAATTTAAAAAAAAAATTAAATTTATTTAAAGATTGGTAACTAAAGTTAATGTAAGAGAGAACATATGCATTCTCCATGATGGAAGATTGTAAGATCCTTCCATTTACAGAAGTTCCTGCTTCATATATGAAACTAAATAGGTAAGAAGCTGCAGAAAAACCTCCAGATAGGTTCCCAGAGAAGGATGTTGATGGTAAAGTAGTATTGTTTAGCTAGTGCAGCTATCTTGGAAAATATCCTTTGAAAGCATGGCAGAATGTTTTCTTGATGCAGTGATGAAGTTTGACATTTAAAGAGCGAATATTATATGACAGTCCTGTGGGAGAGAAACAGTTATGTAATTATATAAAGTCTTGTCATGGTTTAAGCCCAGCCGCTAACGCAGAACCACGCAGCCGCTCACTCCTGGAGGGATGGGGAGGAGAGTCGAAAGAATGTAACTCCCGTGGGTTGAGATCGGAACAGGGCAGTAACTAAGGTATAACACAAACCACTACTGCTACCACCAGGAATAATAAGGGAAATATCAAGGGGAGAGAATATAAAACTAAAAGGGAAAGGGGAAAAAAACCCAGTAAACACAAATGATGTACAATACAATTGTTTACCACCTGCTGACTGATACCCAGCTCGATCCAAGCAGCGATCTGAGCCTTCTAGGTTAACTCCCCGCAGTTCCATGCACTGGGCATGATGTGCTGTGGTACAGAATACCCCTTTGGCTGGTTGGGGTCAGGTATCCTGTCTCTGTTCTCTCCTGGCTTCTTGTGCCCTTCCTCACGGGCAGTAGCTTGAGACTGAAAAGTCCTTGGTCAGGGTAAGCGTTACTTAGGAACCACTAAAATATCGGTGGTGTTCTCAGACTAAAACCAAAACACAGCACTGCACCGGCTACTAGGAAGAAGAAAAATAACTGTTACGGCTGAAACTAGACAAGTCTAAAGAAGGTTGTGGCTTTAAAATTGCTGGATATGCTGTAGCTGCACAAATCTAGCCAAACTAAAGGAAGTTCTGGTAATATGGCACCATGTGTTTAAAAAAGAATATGCTGCAGCAAGTACAATGCTTTCAGAATTTCCCATTAGATTGAGGAGAGCATCTCTAGAATCGTTGTGTACAGTAATTGTTAAAGGAATACTCTGCTGTACATGTGTTTGGGGGATTTTTCTTAAGACAGAATTGACTATCAGTATCTGTTAACTAATAATAGTTGATGATAAAAAAATGGTGAGATATCAGTAACCCGTGGCAGAAAAGCGTTTAGTCATTTCTTCATCTGATTTTTTTTCTTCCTCCCACGTGATTTGCATGCTGATCACTAGGAACATGTTGAATATGGAGAGTTTCAGCAAACGTAAGAGATGGTAACCCGTAAAAGAGGTGGCGTGGACTGCCTTGTAATGCCCTGCAGTATTACTGTAACAGTGACGCTCACTATCTCTGGAGACCAGCCTTATAGAGAACTGGATTAGGGTAATCTACTCTTTTATGTGAGAAGTCAGAATAAGACTTTACCACCGCACTTCTGGTATCTGTCAGTGCTCAAGCTCTAAATGTTCTTAACAGTCTAGGCTGTAAGCTTGCGAAGAAGCTTGTGTGGCTGAATAAGTCTGGTCTGGTAAGGCTTGCTGTGTCGTCCAACCTCAGCTTTCACCAGAAAAGTCTGGTTTCATAGTTCCTGCAGAATTTTGGTAGTTAAAGAGCAGAAATGTCAAATGTTGATGCATCAAGAGCCTAGAATGTATTTTAAAAAGTAATTCCAATAGGTTTTCCTTTCTGTATGTTAATATTCTACTGTGTTCAAGTTGATAGTAAAATTGTGTGTTTTTTAATAGTTTGCAAGAGAATCTTTCAGTGAAGTCAGTTAAAGAAACAGAGAAGAAACTTCGCCATCTGCTTGCAGATTTGCCACTTCCACCTGAGTTGCCTGGAGGTGCTGACTTATCTAAAAGTCCTGAAGAAAAGAAACCAGCAGTTCAGTTACACAGCAAGAGAAGACCAAAGTACGTTTTAGTAGACTTTATAAAGCCTATCAAGAAGTAGAAGTGATAAGTTTCTCTAAAATATATTCTTTTCCAAATAATTCTGATTTTCAGTGACTTTTAATATTAATGAGGCTGAAATCAAACTGCAAGTTTTATTCCCACTTAATGGTAGTAAGCCAGTTACCTAGTAATGTTTCCTAATTATTTAGTGTTGAGGGTCTTGTCGACGTTAAAACAATCCTTAAATATATTAGTTATATTCTTAGAAATGTTTGCTGTTTTCTAGAATATGTGGACCACGACATGGTGAAACAAAAGAAAAAGAAATAGATTGGGGAAAGCGCTGTGTGGATAAATTTGATATCATTGGTATTATTGGTGAAGGCACTTACGGGCAAGTTTACAAAGCCAGAGATAAAGACACAGGTAAGTCCAGAAAAAGTGAATGTAATCGTGCTGTTCTAAAGTGACCAGGATATTTTTGGGTTGGTTTTTATATTGAGTAAAACTGTGTGGCATTCTGCCCTCTAATGTTTGGAAAGTTTTTAGTTGTTGGTTTGTTTGGTTAGTTTTAAATCCAGAATTAGTCTAACTCAGAAGTTACATTTTGCTGCCTTGGAAAGAATTATTTATGCATAAAACGGTGGCTGAAAGCAAGCTGAATGCTCTTAATTTCTAATTAGTATTTCTTGAGTTTTGGTGCTTCGTACACAATTGAGCTAGTGAAGAAAAGAGGGTAAATACTCCAGAGAAACAAAATGGGACCCTAGACAGGATGACAGCAAAGTTTGCGAAGGGATGTAAGGGTTAAAGAAGCTATGCATGAGATTTAGCCATTTTTCCTCTTTGTATTCAAAATGTCATTAGCTGACAGGAAGAGAAGCTGCCTCTGTGCAGCAGAGTCCTTAAGTATTGCATATTGGGTGTTTTTCTTGCAGTATGGCTACAGCAGCGACATAGGTTTTAAATTTCATGTTAAACTATTGCTAAAATAAGCAAGCATCACTACTGTGATATGCACGAATGCTGTCATTACTGCTAATGTATTGAAATGGATTCTTCATATGTACTGTATGTTGCTTGATCTTTTAATGTCCAATTAGTAGTTCTTGCTGTGACTGCTTGCCCTTCTGGCTTATTTGTGCATGCTTTGAATGCTGGATAATTTTCTACTTCAGCAGTAGCTGAGTCACATAGGATCACATACCAGCCTCACTTCTTTCTTTCTGATCTCCAGGAGAATGAGCAGTGTAATTATAATTCCTCTGCCATTCTTCGCCTGTGCTTGTCTCAGTTTGCAACCTTTAGTTCTTTAGTTGAACTGTCACAGATCTCATATTTTACTTCTACCTTGGGAAACATTGCAGATCATTGTTAGGAGCTTCTTCCTACTCGCCTAGGATTTTGTTATTTGCATATTTAAGTTGTTAATCTTACCATAACCATATTGCCTCTTTAGCAAGCGTCAAGCTGTTTGTGTGGCAATCATTGCTGAGCCTTCAGTAGAAGTTGTTACTGTCTGTATTGAATGGTTCCATACAGTTAAGCAAACCTTTCATTAGCCTTAAATTAAAACCCTGTGCAGAGTGGTATTAAAGCTGTTGAGATGTCTTATGACAGGGTGTGCAGTGGGCTTTCAAAGCAAGTGGATGTTGTGTCATACTGAAATGTGACCTATTGTGTGTATATATCATACATGGGTGTATAATAAGCCCTTTCTAGAGTTAACAAAGATACGTGTGCTGTCAGTAAACTTGCAGGATGCAGCAGTAAACTTTCAAGAACAAAATGGTTGAGCTGGCATACAGTCTTTAGATATCCTCCATCATGAGGAGATCATGCTCCTGCCATTTTGCAGAGCCTAGGCCAGCCTGCAGTGGAATAATAAGGAAAATTTGTCTTTAATGTAAACGTGGCAGTGACACTTCTGCTATTAGAAAGTATATGGAATAATTAGGTAAGTCTTCAGTCATCTGCGTCATCTTGAACTATGTGGCGTTTTCTACCTATGGTATTGTAGTAACAAGAAACTCTGAGCAGACGTAGGCCTCTGTCTTTAAGGCTGTTGTGATAATAGCTTTTACATGGGGGTTTATTGAAAGATTTGATGTGGAGTATCAGAACACAGGTGAGTGGGGTGTACAGGAAGAAGACAACAGGCCTTACAGCAGGTAGCTGAAAATTCTCATTTATAGCGATGCTTCTCCTTGTGATAGTTTCCCAGCAGCAGTTAATTCTGTTTCCATTCAGCATAGTGTTTGGTGCAAACATCTAAATGTTAACTGTTTAGTCTGCTCAGAAACAGTAACAAATGGGAAGGGTTTAAAAAACAAATGAGCAAAGTTAATACTGAATCACATAGTTTGTTTGCTAATCTTAATGGTTTGTATTCTCTTAGGGGAAATGGTAGCACTAAAGAAAGTACGTCTGGATAATGAAAAGGAAGGGTTTCCCATAACAGCTATTCGGGAGATTAAGATTCTTCGACAGCTTAATCACCAAAGCATTATCAACATGAAGGAAATAGTGACAGACAAGGAAGATGCTTTGGACTTCAAGAAGGACAAAGGTATGTACACTAAGGCAGGAGGAGCTCTTTCTGGTTCAGTTCCTAATACAGTAGTCTGTGATGCTGGATTTGAAGTTCTGCTTCATTAAAAAATGTGTAAATTGTGATGCTTGTCAAGGGACTTTAATTAGTAGTATAAGTCCTTTATTCGGCTCAGCTATGCCTTTTGCTTATAGAAAGGTTTTTGCAAGTATCTTGTGGGATAAGAAAATGTAATGATTCCAATTTTGCAGGAGAGGAACAGGTATTTGACTTCTTGACACTCACAGATTAGGGAGGCCAGCAACAATAGCAAGATCTTAGTTGTGGTTTTTTTAGTCTTTTTTTTTTCCTCATTTTCTTTTATCATTTAGACTATTGTAGGCTCAATGCTGAAGAGGTGTTTTTCATTGTAGGCTTTGATTTTGAGGTGTGTTTCAGACAGTTTTTCTTAGTTGGGTATGTGTGTTTCAAAGGCTAGAAGAAGGATAAGAAGATTTGTGTGGTGGGGATATTTTTCCACCAAAAAGACATGCAGACTTTTACTCTTTTGGTTCCTTCAGTGTTAAGTCTGGCTTGTTTGAGTTACTGCAACCTGGAGAATGAAGCAGACAGTGGAAATCATGCAGTGTTGTTGCTTGGTGTTTTTGGTTTGGAGGGGTCATTTGTCTTTGGAGGCTATTTCCTTTTAGGTCCAAGTCCTATAAACTTCTTTTGGGGTATTAAAATGTTCAGTGGGCGATTTGCTAGATGGCTTGGCTGAGGAGTGTGTTTGGAGTGTGATATCTGTGCTTATTCCTGGCTTTCCTTCCAAGAGTTTTTATAGAGCATGCCCAGCTCCAGTGCGGGTAGAAAACACTGTATGTTGCTGCAGAGCCAGCGGAAACACTGGGTGACATCGTGATGAATCAGAAAATGGCTGTCAAAATTAAGCAGGAATGAGTGTTTTTTTTTCCTAGCATCTTTAGAAAGTATAATACGTTCAAGTATTCTATATACAAATACAGCACTGCCAGGCTGTATTTTTACTGTGTTTAGAAACCATCTAGCAAAGGAGTTTCCCCGGATGTGTGCAGGTTTCAGTGGTTGGCACCCGCTCTGAATCCCAGCAGTATGCAACAGCCAGTTTAGGCTTTTCATGTGAATCTTGTACTGAGTTTTAATTAGGTCTAACCTACTTGGCTAATGAGACCACGTTGAGCCTTGACTTAAAACTTAATAACTCATTAATTAATTGTCTCTTTCTGTTTGGTGCCGTGTCTAGGATTGAATTGTAAATTTTATTTGGTGTGCTTCAAACTGTGTGTCTCATTAATTTCAGATGTATTTTTCTTTTGCCCAAGTCTATATTTGTGCTTTTGATATTGCTTTCATTTAATTCCTCATTTAACAGCTTATTAAAACAGTTATTTTCAGAAAACTTGCAAGGGAAGCGGTTTCTCTGGAGATGCTAGCACCAAATTAATTTCTGAAAGCATTAGCATGATAAAGAGACTGTGCTGTTATGATTTATCTGTGAAAAGATGGAGGGCTTGTTTGGTTTTTTTTATTTCCAGGAACTGCATTCTGTATTTCTCTAATGAGTAGTTCATTGTGAGATGGAGGTTTATAGTCGAGATGTTGTGGCCAAATTGTATTCTATGCAGGGGACAAATGAATGCAAGTGGGAGGGAGTTTGATCATCTTCACAGTAAACCATTGCAAACACAAAAGTAGGCTGCTTCCTTTAAGAAGGAGCCATTATAGAAATGTTAGAGCTTACAGTAGAAGCAAAGTGTTTTGTCCTCTGAATATACTTATGCTTAATGTACATTATTATGCTTGTCTTAGCTTTGGATTATAACTTTTACAAAACCCTGCTGATAGTCCATTTGTAAAAGTAGGGAATGGGAACATTTCTTCCAACACATGTTCTCTAGTTGATATAAGTAAAGTTAATTTTGTGTCTAAGGTTGACTGTCATATCCTGACTCGTCTGCTTATTCATTCAAGGTGTTGGGTTTGTTTTTTGGTTTTGTTTGTTTTAGGTTTTTTTTTCCTTTGGATCTCAGTAATTTAAAATGCAGTTTTCTGACAGTGATGTAGATGTTGGACACACCTTGTACAATTTTTTTTATGATGCTTTTTAAGATAGCAACATTGGCTGCAAACCAGTAATAGCTTGCCTTATACAGCTTTGTCCTGGTACTTTGAGCTGTGTTACATGCTTGCATGATTAGACATTAGGAAGAAGTTCTTCTCTGTGGGGGTGGTGAGGTGCTTGCAGAGGGGCCCCACGGAAGCTGTGGCTGCCCCATCCCTGGCACTGTTAAGACCAGGTTGGACGGGGCTTGGAGCAACCTGCTGTGGTGGAAAGTGTTCCCTGCCTGTGGCAGGGGGTTTGAACTGGATGAGCTTTAAAGTCCCATCCGACACAAACCAGTCTGGGATTCTGTGATTTCAAGTGACATAATCCTGTGTTACAAACTTTGAGTATCTGACTTGTGTCAGTAGTTTCAACAGCATTTTGCTTTTAAAGAAAATAGAAGCAAAGTTTATCTGCGTTTTATCCTGGCCAGCTTGGGTTATAAATTTAACAATAGCTTTAGTATAGGATTGAGTTTATTCTTTCTAGCCAGCCATTAGAAAATGAAATGTAACACGTTGGACCAGTGTGTTAGAAATGCTTTAAGTGTATTTCCCAGTGGAAATACAGCACATGAGCGCGATTGTATGTGGGAGCTGAGTGGGTCTGCTGTTCTGAAACCTGAAGTGTAACTTAGCAGTTTCCATTATGCATGAGACATGCTTGATGATCAAGTTGGAGAATGGCATTTCTGATTACTCATTGGTGATTTAGTATCTTGATTCTCAAGCACGATCCTGACAGGTAAAACACCTATGTTGGGTGTGGCAAGGATTATCCATTTTGTATGTTTTTCATGTAGGCTTTTCCCCCCTGCCTATCATACAGAGGGAGATGGGTGAGCACACAAGGTAAGGGATGGGAACGCAAGACTAATAGTTTATATCTTGTCTTGTGTGTGTATCTGCATAAGAGCTGACTTAACAGTACATTTGTCAGTTGTGCTTGGGGGTTTCTAGGCTTTTTTGTTTCTTTAAGCTTCCTCTGCTGCTCTTGGGACATAAAGCCTCACTTGACTTGATAGCAGCAATGAGCTGTAGTTTCCATTCAGTATTTTCCTAAAATGTCAGAACTCTGGTTATTTTTGTTGAAAGCATTTTCCTCTACTGAGCTAGTACCAGAGCAATTGTGGGTGTCAGTCTTCAATAGTAGTAGAAGCAGCCTGACACTGTTGGTGTTTGTGACCAAATCTGATGGCAACTAAAGCTTCCTTCACTTCTTGTTTGCTTGGTGGTAATTCAAATTAATAGGAGTTTGAAAGTTCATATTCATGGACCTCAGTTCATGTCCTCTTGGAGCAGAGTTTGGAGCAAAAGGATTGTACTGGGCAGAAGCTTTTCATCTCTTAGTGCTTTGGGTTGTTTTTGTCTCCTAAAGTTTGTGTAACAATAATTGAAGAAGGCAAGATTTAAAACAAGTTGAAAACAAAGAGCTATTTCCTGGGTATATTCAAATCTATACACCTCATAAGCTAAGTTAGTTGAGCCACTTCAGTTATAACTTTATACTGAAGTTATAAAATAAACCAGAATGACTGGAAAAAAGGTCCTTCTTACTTCGGGCTTTTGTCAGCTCTGCTTTTGTTTTCTCAATTTAACAATTAATTACATGATCTTAGGTGTCTCTTTTAACTTTGGGCACCTGAGATGGTCCTTCAGTTCTCAGTTGCTGCTTTATCAGCTAGAAGCTGTTGCAAGTGTTCAACATTCTGGTTATGGGACTGCCACAGTATCTTTCTATTAAATACACAGAGTGCGTGACTTAGCTTTTGTGGCTGTGAATGTAAAACCAGTAGGTGTGCTGACGGACATCTCCTCTTCCTTTAGACTGGAAGAAGCGTTTTCAATTGCTAACCCAAGGGAGGTGTAGAATTTTGCATGGTAGACTCCAATAAAAAAGATCTGGTTAATGTCACAGCTTGGAGTTTTTTCATTTGGATTGTTTCTGTGTGTGTGTTATCTGGTTGGATTGTGTGTGTTTGTTATTAATTTTAAAAATCTAAATTTATTTTAGATTAAATTTTGAATTGATTTGCAGTACAAGTTAACAAGCCTATTTTAGGCATGAAGTTGGTATTCGTCTTGACAGCATGGCAGTACTCCTGTCAAAACACTGGCTCTGTGGTACATTGTAGATTAGGCAGAAGTTCTTCCCTGTGAGGGTGGCGAGGCACTGGAACAGGCTGCCCAAGAGAGTTGTGAATGCTTCATCCCTTGCAGTGTTCAAGGCCAGGTTGGACAGGGCTTGGTCTAGTGGAAGGTGTCCCTGCCTGTGAGAGGGGTTTGGAATTAGATGATCTTAATGGGCCTTTTCAACCCAAACCATTCTATGAATAGCAGATTGCTTTCTCACAGCCGCTGAGGAGTACTTTGTCTGAAAGCCTGTGGTTTGTAGGAAGTCTGTGACAGCGATCATGTCATCAGAGAGTACTTCACTACAGTAAACACTACAGGTTCCTTCTCTGTTGTAACTAGCTTTATCCAGGTTTCCTGCAAAGGTCAGCAAAACCAAACTGTCCTGAATTTCAGTAACCTCTAATGATCTACAGCATGCCTTGCTGCTCCTGAAATAGCTGATAGAAACTTACCCAAATAGCTTTCATGCTACAGTTATCAGGCATAGCGTGACTGCTGGTGTTTCCTGTTTCTGTGTGCCCTAGTGGACTCTGTTCTGGAATGAGTGCAGACCTAATTGTGTGGCTTTTCAACCTGATCCATGTTATGGCCAACTGAGAAAAATCCCTGATATGTTTGGTTTACTTTTCCTCTGCTTTAAGTTTTTTGTTTGTTTTCTTATTTTCCTGTAGTATGTAATTAAACAAGGAAACTATTTGCTCCCAGGGCTTCTGTATGCCCTTAGCTGGTACAGCTACTTCAGAATGTGTTTCCATTCATGTGGAGTTTGGGTTGGATTTGTTTCAAGAGGAGAATGCAACAATTTGCAATGGGAGAATAACATAGGACATGGCAAGGATGCTTTCTTTAGACTTAAGGTGCTTAATTCACTAGCTATAACTTTATTTGGTGTTTTGTAAATTGGAAAATAGGTTTGTAAAATGTGAATAGAAAGAAAAGATGAATGTTTAAGGGACTCTAAGGAATTTAAATATAAGAAATTTAATTGTTTCTATACTTTTCAAGCTTTGACAAAATTCTGTTTAAAACTGTCTTGGAATATAGTGTATTGTAACTACTGGTAGAGAAATGTTAAGGAAGTCGAAGAGTAAATATAATCCAATTATCTTGAATCAATCAAGGGAAAAAATACTTATGTATTTCATAGAAGAAGCTGAGGAGGCTTGTTAGCGAGATGAAAATCTGATGGAGCCTCATTCTGAACAGTGAGTACAGAACAAACTGTTGAAACCCTGTTCAACTCTGCATTGTACATACCATGTACTGAATGAGCCAGGGATCCTTTCTCTTAAGCGTTTTTGCATTTCAAGGTACTCTTTTAATGCATTTATACAAGGATTGAATTAAAATTTGCACATAATAAGGCACTTCCGGTCTCCTTGTTACTCTGATCTGTATCAGATATTTTGAAAAACCCCAAACACCTTCCCTATGAAGTAATATTTGTTTAAAAGCTGTCATCTGGGTAGGTTTCTGAATCATTCTCCCCTGATGCTTCCCTCCCTGCACAGCCTGAAGAACTTCTATCTCACTTTGAGGACAAATGCCTAATTTAATGTCCTGCTTTGTGGGATCTGTATGATTTGATGACAGTCCAAAAAAGTCCAGGGCCTGCCTGTGTCACAAAAGTGTGTTTTGTTAGCTTTTATAACCTCCTAGAAAATTATTATGGATCATCAGTGCCATGTCTTGAGTTACCCATTTTATATTTGTCACTTGACAGCATTATTGCCCCAGTTCATTTTGGGTTTTAGAGTTCCATGACTTGAAATAAATGAACAGGAGGAGAAGATATGTTAATCCTTTAACTACTCAAAAGCATTATCTCAATTTCTGACCCTTATCAGTCTTAACTGACAGAGTGGTCAAAAAGATTCATTTCTTGAAGTGCAGACAAGAGAAGTAAGGGTAAGAGGATTGTTTCCATTGGTGTGAATTTATTGTGTACCTCCGTAATAGATTCAGCTGCTCTCATCCCATATTCAGAAGTAGGCAATATTACTACTGCTCAGCTGTTCCAGCTGCTGCTCTGTCAACATGCAGTGAAGTTAAGGTTTCTTATCTCAGTAGATGAAGGAATGGAGATAAGCTGTGTGCTATCAGCAAACAAAATGGGGCACACAGGACGCAAACCCCCAGCTGGTGTTTTGTTGCAGCATGTGGCAGTAGGCTGTAGGCTGCTTCCCACCCCACAGGTACTTACAGGGAAGTGCAGTAAGATGAGTAAAGTTAGTCACAGTTCTCAGTTCATTTGAATTGCATGTGCTTTACTGTAACAGAGCTTTAGGTGTTTTTGTGACACTGCTTTCAGAAATGTGGATATTTGGCAAAGCTCGCGTGAAACAAAGGGTCTTTTTAAAATGTAACTTCCAAGTTATTGAATGTCTTTGCCTCATAAGGGGAAGAACAATTATTTTTTGTTGTTTCCGTTTTTGAGAAATGGGTATTTGTGTGGCATTCCTTTTGATTGCACTAAAGGATGCTCTAAGCTTGAACTCTGGCTGTGTTGTAGTAAACAGTCTTCTGCCTGTGCATAGTTAACTTGTGAAGTCTTTCATGACTCTTTTCTTCTTCCTGAATATCTACAGTTTCTTTCCCTGTTGTGAAGATTGCCTGATTTGGTGAAAAGCACTAGAAATCTGAAAAGATAAAGTAGAATAATAACTGTTTTGTAGGCCAAACCTGTATATCTGTATCAGAAAAGGGCACCACGCTTGTGTACAAATAAACTGAATTTCACTTCAGTTTGCTTGACATCTTTTTTGCAGCTACAATCACTTCCAAATATAGTTTGAGTAATACTGAAAATCACATTTTAATGGTTAGACTGCCAAGGCTAGTAGACTAATTTCAGTGGCTTATCATAACCGATGAAGATCCAGTTTTGACCGTTCTTAACAATACATTCTAACTTTGTATCATATGTGTGATGCAGAAGTGTAATCAATCTGTGCATGTCCTCTTGCTCTGGTACAGAAGGAGCATCTAGCATTTGTACTGTGCTAGTGTATGTTTCTTAATGAGACTTGTGGAGAATATAAATAATTGGATCAACTCCCAGATACTGCTCTGTTCTATTTATGAACTGTCTCCATTGTTGTCAGCTTTCCTTCTTGCATGAGGGTACCAGTTCTGATTGCTGGTTATAAATAGTGGCAAAAAAGTCCTGGTAGCTAGTGACAGAGCAGAAAGTGCTCAAGGCATGGAGCCTGCTTCGCATATAAAGAAGAAGACTGTTCGACTGTTCTCACTGAGCAGGTCTACAATCCCACTGACCCTTCCTAGTCTTTCTCCTTCTCATGTACATGCAGAGTGCAGCCTGCTGCCATGCAGTTAACTTTGTATCCCAGAGCAAGAAGATACTAAGATTGTTGGTATTCGATTTTGTTGAGCTGACATTCTCTGAAGAGCGTGTCTAGATTATTTTGGCACTGCAGCATTAATATCAGCTCTTTTGTTTCAAGGCATCTTAAAATATGTCATGGTTCATACTTCAGCAGTTGTCAGTAAAGTAGACCTTTGCCGGTTACCTTGATTTAAAAGACCAAGATGAGGAGACTCAGTGCTTTTCCCATACTGAACTGGTGAGCTGCATTGGTGAACTCAGTTATGCACATAGTAACATGGCAGACCTTTGGTTCTTTATGGCTGTTAATACTTCCTGCTTTCCTTTTGAAGTCATTTACCTCCTGCTCCACATCCTCTGTTCACACTGATGGATATTTTATGATCAGTGTTTTGCTTCCTCCTTATAACATACAACACGCAATGGGACAAAAGGACCTCAATTAAAAACAGTGAACTCAGAGTGTCCTATGCAATGGCCTGTAGTTTAGCTGGTCTACACTGATCTTTGTTACAAGTTTAACACTTTATGAGTGATCTTTTCTCTTTTCGTTAAAAAGCAGATGAATTTGATGCCCTTTCTTCCCTTTTCAGCTACTGTGCAAGAAAACAAGTCAGTTCACTAGAATCCAGCTTTTGCATTTGTGTGTGTGTATGTTCTGGCAAGCTAACTTCTCATTACTGCTCCTAGACTTTCGCTAGCTTTTGAGTTAAAACTTTCTATTTAGGAACCAGAACCTGTAATGAGTTCTTGTTGGGCAGAAGCTATTTGTACTTTAGAGTGGTGGCTTTGAAATCTCTTTGGGGAAAGGCTTTTGAAAATGGAAGGTAGACAGACCCACTTGAAAGTTGTCTGCGTTGCCACTAGTGCTCTCTGCAAGGGACTGCAGTGTCTTCTCTGCCCCAGAGTTAAGAAGGGGAAAAATGATGTACTGGAAGTGGGTGTGCTGGAGATCGGTTATTGCTGCTTCTGAAGCATTGAGCACTTTGCTGCTTTAAGATTGGTTATTGCTGCCTCTGAAGCACTCAGCACTTTTCCTCTTAAGAATACTTATATATATATCAAAGAGTCTTGGCTTTAATAGCTTTATTTGTGGAATTACACAGGCTAATGTGAGGTAAGACCAGACTGCATTATGCTTAGTGTATGTATCTGGCAACTTGCAGTATGAACTGTCTCTTTGCAGAGCTGCTGTTGCTAGTAGGTTAGTTCTGCTTTCTCATTTTGACTTACGGGTATTATTGGTCTGAGAAGGGCAGGCTTATTTTTGGCCCACTTCCACACTGGAAGCTTAAAGTCAGTCACTGAATCATGACAGATGAACTAATGCTGTACATACTTTGTTTCTAAATTTCTCCCCAAGCTTAATTTTTCCTTTTTCCAAGTTAATTTTTCCTTATCTAAAATGGGTGGAGATTGAGAGCCATGAAAGAGTGCATGTCCATCTAGATTAAGGCACCATGCTGGTAGGGTTGTATTTGTTTTCACAAACATTTGACCAGCGTAGCTGCTCACATGGAAGAGCAATTTGCTGCACTATGTTTTATTGTAATTACTGGACATGAGGCCAGCTATAAATATTGCAGAAAATGGGAACAGTTGTGAGAAAAATAGTTTAAACTTTGAAAAGTAGGGAGCAGCAATGTTTTGAACTGCCGTTAAATCAATTTCTCTCTGTTTCTCTTGCCTTTTCTCTTTCTTTTCCTAGGTGCATTTTACCTGGTATTTGAGTACATGGACCATGACTTGATGGGACTGCTGGAATCTGGTTTGGTTCATTTTAATGAAAACCATATTAAATCTTTTATGAGACAGCTGATGGAGGGCTTGGCCTATTGCCATAAGAAGAACTTTTTGCACAGAGATATCAAATGTTCAAATATTCTACTAAATAATAGGTATGGATATTACTTAAAGTTTGTAAAACCAGAAATAAATTGTATGTTAACAACTCTTAACTCTTTCTTTTCATCTTTACAGTTCACCTGCTTTGTCACTAACTTTTTTTTTTTTTAAGATGGCCTAGTTGCTTTAAAATCAGTTGTGAAATACTAATCTGGTAACACCACTGCTCAACATGGGATCCTGTAATTGTTAAACTTCTGCGTGTTAAAACAGCAGGATTAAAACTTCAGTCTTTTAGGTCAGAGTATGGGGGAAAGTTACCGGAGTTCAAATACATTAAATCAGAATTTTAGGACATAAGTGTTCGACATGTTATCGTTCTTGCCATTTCATTTTAAGATGAAGCGTGGCTAGCGTGGTTCTTCATAACATAATTCTGAGGTCCTTGTCTTCATCAGTCAGGATAATGCTTTAAAACAGTATTTATCAGGTGTGTTCAGACATGCTTTGGCTTGCAGTTACAGCCATAATCAAACAGAGATGAATTGGTTTCTTCCTTCTTTAACCACTTGTAATTGCAAGTCTTATTAGTGATCATGCTTTTGTTCAGTGTGCAGCAGCAGCGAATTAAAAGCTTGTGTGAAGATAGTGGAAGGCTTCGGTACGGAAACACTGTTCATGAAATCCAGTGGTAATAAAACCCGGGAGCAACTGTAAAAGTTAGGCTTACAACAGCAAAAAAGACCATCTTTACAGAGCGGGTAGTCAGCTTCTGGAAGTTGTTGTCAGGGCAGGTTTTCCTGGCTAGTGTCAGGAGAGTCAAAAGGATGGGATGCATTCATGGATTAGTAACACCTGCTAAAGGGAATAGATAGGAATATGTATTTTAGGATCTTTAACACAGTGATTGTGTGTAATGTTAGTACAAGGAAAATGAGGCCCAAAGTGAGCAGGTTCACATGTTCTCCCTAAAAGTCTGCTGCTGCTGGAAGCAAACTGTTGGGCAAGAAGGATCAAGGGTGTCTCTTCCTCATCTTGCTTGAGTGGTGGTGTCTCCATGCACCTTTGGGAACTCAGAAGCCGAGGTGTAAACTGACAGGGAGTGTCTTATTATAGAGGTGGAGCTTTCTGTTTTAGTGTGCTCTCTCCAATCCAGGATCCAGAGGTTTTTCCCCTAGAATATTCTTTGAGGATCCTTAGATGTTTCAGCTGGAAGAAGAAAAAGTTAATAGTTGATGAGACAATAATTTTAAGCCGGTATTTCTGAAATCTCACTACCAGTTACAGCCTGAAGCCAAATGCATGGATTATGTATCTTTTAGATACACAACTAAATGTCTTTGCTCAAAAATTCATTGATCTTCCACAGATATGCTGTCCGAAGAACAAGCATGTGAATTTGAGGGGAACATTTCTTCGTTTATGGGGATTCTTTCAAGTGTTACAACAATTCTAAGCACAAATCTGAGGGGAAAAATGGAATGGAAAATGTAACCTATATAAATGACCTAAATAAAATATATTTTATTATCACAAAATGGTGATTCTTACGTCAGGAAGTCTTGCCTTAATTTGATGAAATAAAATCTATTTGAAAGTGAGGTTTGCATGTATTTAAAAGTGATGGGAGTTTTAAAAGCTTGTAAGTACCGAAAACCAAACCCTGCCCCTGTAACATTTTAACATTCATTTCATGTATTACAGAAGCTTGCATATAGCTTTCTGTTTAAATCATCTAGACTTCAGAGGTGGTGGGGACTACAGGCCACGGAGCAGTGCCTTATAGCTGTGGAAATTGCCAGGCAAGAGCTCTGGATCTTCTACTCTTCCCCTTATATGTGGGAAAACTCAAGAAGGGGTTAGAGGTTGTGTCATTCAGCAAGCTGGCTGCTGGCAAAACTAGAAGCCCTTATCTGGTCGTTCACCCTCATTTAAAGGCCGTATTTAAACTTCACAAGAGCAGAACAGGACTTTGACAGCTTCCTAGAAGGAAGTATAGCTACTGATGGTTGTTGTATGAATGCTTATGCTAGCAGTAAGGGATGAGAAAATAGCAGTTTCCTCCCTCATTTTTTTTTTTTTCCTGTGCAGTTACTGATTTGAGTACTTTACAGCATACACCTAATTTTTTTACTAAGATCCAGTGATATAAATGCCATTTGATGAGCATACCTAATTTTGCTTACTTGTCTTTGCTATTCAGTAGGCTGGTGTATTTGTTTACTGAAGAGATGCATAGATTGTAAGGCATTGCCTCCTCATAAGTGTGATTTGGTGAAGACCAGTTGCAGCTGCCTCAATCTCAGACTTCACCTGATTTTGGGGCAGGAAATCTTCAAGAGGATTAACCACTAAATAATTCTTTGCTTTTTCCACCAGAGGGCAGATAAAGCTTGCAGATTTTGGGCTTGCTCGGCTGTACAACTCTGAAGAAAGGTAAGATAAAACTATACCATGAAAAAGCATTTAGAAGTTTAATGTTTTTTGCATAACTCTTACGTATTACAAGGGCCAGAGAAGAAGACTGTTGTTTAGAGCACATACTGTACTGCTTAGGACATGTTGTCTTGCACTGCATAAAACCACAGAACTCTCTGTGCAAGTGTATTGCTTTTCCAAGTGTTCTGGATAAATAACTGTAGAGAGTGGCCTTCTATTAATTAGAAATGAAGAGTTGAAGTCCAAAGTAGGTTGCATCAATATGTAGGTTTTTACTGTTAGTTTCTGGTCCTGTAAACCTAAAGGGTATTCTTTCTGTTAGTATATCTAGGCAAAGTTGATTTAGGGAAAGCCAGATTCTTTGGCTGGCACAGATTGGTACACAGTGTCTTTTCAATAAGCATTACTTTTGTGTAAGATTTAACCTTACGTTTGAAGAGGTTCATTGTATTCTTTAGGCAGCCAGTGCTGTTGAATCTGCTGGAGAGATACAAATTGAAATAAAAGTTATTCTGAAACCACATGTGACTTGTGCTTCTGTTGTTCTTGGCTTCGTTATGCCTGTACTCCAGGAAACAGGTGCACAGATTTTATGATTAAGTAGTGAAGTATTCATATTATAATGACATGTGTTTGTCATGTGGAACTGGATTTTAAAAATTGAGGCTGAATGTCCATTACGCTTAGTGTGTTCATCAGGTGGTTGGATATACCAAGATCAGCTTCCTGAGCTTACTTTGATTTCTGCACGCCTTATTTGGGAAATAATATCCATAATGTTAGCTTTATGAGTTTATGGTGTTCTTAGAGAGCTCTGAGCTTGTTGTTGAACCTGATAGCATCAGATTCGTTGTCTTCTGAGCTGGTATTTCCAGAACATATGCTGAAGTACAGATACTAAAACTGTTGAGTACTGTAGCAGGGTAAGATAATCTTAAGCAGCTGCCTGGTAATTAACTGTTGTTTCAAATGTACTTATAATAAAAGAGATTGATGCCATCCTACCTTCTTACTTTAAAGTGCACCAAACTGACCTTTTTGTTTTTCCTGTGGTTTACATGGTGGATTGTTTGGTTTGAGGTTTTTTTCTTTTAACGTTTGCTTTTAAATTGAATTTAAATTTTGCTTGTGAAACTATGCATTAAGAATTGAATGATGGAGATTTCACTAGCTTTATAGTGCAAATAACAGATTTTACTATATATCAAACAGCAACATTTATTACGCTATTATAAATGAACCCAAGATTAAAAAGCAATTATGCTAGTTAATAGTTGAACTTGGGAGGATAATTAGAATCCCATTAGTGGATTTTTGACAGTTCTTTGTCATTCATTTTGCTTCCAAGTAGATTCTGACCTGCAGTAAGGCATAATTAATTTATACCAAGAAGCGTGTAAAGGCTGCTGCTTTAAATTCGTGTATTTTACATTTAGTTTAATGCTATTTAGACTTATGTACTTTTCAAAAGGGTGCAAAATTTAGTAGGAGCATAATGGGGAGGAAATAAAAAACTAATTTTAAGTAAGTTCCCATTGGTTGCTGTAGTTGTGTTCCTTTAAATGTTACTCTGGTGGATTTAATATGTTTGGAGTAGGATATATGACAGATTGTGTAAGAAAACATCTGTTCAAATAAAAAGCACCATATTCTAATATATGAGTGGTATATCTGTAGAAAAAGTCCATACCATATAAACATTTCATAGAGGAATGCTTGCTTCGGAGATAAATATGATAAATTACAGGATTGTTTCCAGAAACGTACTACATCTTAAAAATGAATTGGGCACTTTCTGGATGAAAAAAAGACTCGGGTGGTTTTGCAGAACTGATAGCTGTTCCACTGAGTGTGCTATAAAACCTTGTTAGGCTTTATGCTATAGTTGTTCAAACTCCATACTTAATGTTACCTGCTTTCTATGTGGAGTTACCTTCTGTTTGTAAGGGTGAATTATTAAAACTGAAAGAATGTAGGATCGCTTTTAAGACACTGTTGTTGAAACAAAACCAAAACCTAACATCTGTTTTCTGCCTTCCTTTCTGAACTGTTGATGCTGTATCTCAGCCTGTCCACAAACAATGTGTGCCTAAGATAGTGGAAATCCTTGCTTTAGTGTGAGAATGAAAAGGATTATTCCCAGTGACCGAAACTTCTGGTTAGAGCTGTAGAGAATTAAAGAAGATGTAAAATACAGGAAGATATTGGAAGTGTTCCAGGCTTTGGAATCAAAATTGTTGAAGGATGTAGTTCAAGAAGAAGGCTTTGTCTCTTTTGCATCTACTTACAGAGGAAAAAGTGAAGTGACTTTTTTTTTTCTCCTTCTTTTCGAAATGCTTATAGAGGTCCTGAATTATCTATGCTAATAGTTAGTAATTGCCCAGAAATTAATGGTTTTATCCAAGCAGGTTCTTTCCTGAAGTGATAGCCATGTAATAAATATAAAGTATTGCTGTCTGAATAATAATTGTGATACAGAATTCACGTAGCATCGAGATGGCTATGTGATTGTTATTTATATCTTCAGCCTGTCCTTTTATAGCTGTGATCAGACGTTGTTGTTTGCTTTTTGTGCACTTGCAGCTTTGCAGGACTAAAGTTATGAAAAGGGGAGTGGAAGATTATACTGCTCTCAAACAGCATTAGAGAAGTCCTCAAAGCATCACTTTTTCAGAAATGAGATCGTAGTAAAATGATAGTCCTCTCTTTTTTCCTCCCCCCAACAGCCGACCATACACCAACAAAGTTATTACGCTGTGGTATCGGCCTCCTGAACTTCTGCTGGGAGAAGAAAGATACACACCAGCTATCGATGTCTGGAGCTGTGGGTAAGAGTTTGGTACAGAAGTGTGGCAACCGTAAAACCAAGCCAAAAATAAATCTTCAGTGTTTCTGGCACTTTATACTGAAAGCCATAATGATGGAATTGTGCAAAACTGTTTTACAGCTGCATCCTGGGTGAACTTTTTACAAAAAAGCCAATATTTCAAGCAAATCAAGAACTTGCTCAACTGGAACTTATAAGGTAACTTGTAACCGTTACTACACAGTAGGATCCTCATAAAGTGTTGGGTTTCTTTTGTTAGTGTTAAAATCAGAGATAGCGCACTGCAAACAGTTACAAGTTCTCAGTTACTGCTCTGACCAACTTCTAAAGGTTTTGAGTGGTGTATAAACTAAGTGACTGTATCTCAGACCTGGAGAAGGTGGTTTTCTGTGTGTTCTGTGGTCCTAGCAGTGTGCAGTGGAACAGTAATAGGTTTTTTTCTTGTAGAGCAGCTGGAGTTACCTCTTACTGAAGTTGTAAATAGCCATTAGTTTTAAGATGACAATACAACGTCCTTACAACAAATCAAAATGGAAACATGGGCAGTAATAACTGGGATTTGGGAGGAGTAGGTACTTGGTGTGCTATTGGCCTTGAGTTCTTGTTCAAGCCTTCCACTTACACACCTGGGCTTTATTATTTTTGTGGGAATATTTCTGTTCCCTTGCAAACTGCCAGACACTTTATGGAGATGAAATTTCTGTTTCTTCCTCAATCTCAAGAAATCATACAATGGTACATATATAACTCAGTGGAACCAGAACATCTTTACTTTTTTTAACCCTTTATGCAGCAAACAAAAATTGCTCTTGATTCTGGTATCATAATTGACCTCATAAGTGAGGACAGGTCCTCTCCTAGAAACAAGGGGAAAAGAGGGCGAGTCCTACATAACTGTCCTTGCAGAACCTGAGTAGTAAATGGTCAACACTATTTTTAAAATGAAAGTAATAACAAACTTTAAGTTATATACGGAGATGTTTTTCAAACCAAATTGAACAGTAGCATGTTGCTGTGTGGTGTGGTATTTGCTGGCCTGGAAAAATGTAGGGTTTTAGGAGGTTTTTAGCAGTCATTCTCAGTGTAAGGAGAACTCGTGAGCTGGGGAGTTTTTGCTTTTGAGCACTAGATGGCATTGAAGCATATCACAGTGCAGTCATTTGGAGCTTTTTGTGCTTGTACCTCTCGTACAGCAAACTTAAAGCTTTGTGATTTCCTTCTCCTGCTGGAAGCACCCATTTGTAGTTCATTTTTCTTCCGTATTGATGCTGTGCGTATTTGGCTGTTTAATATATCAATTTTATCAACTTACCATCATCAGGTTACAGTCAACAGTTCTACATTTATCCTGTGTATCTGTAATATGCACTGATAGAGCTGAAGTAAATTCTGATAGGAAAAGACAGATTTATTTGTTTCTTATTTTCCCCTCCTGAAAGTTGCATATCTCAACCAGTGTAAAGTCAGATTGGTTTGCATAGCATTTGGGGCATAACTAAGAGATTATTGGGTTTCTTACAGTAACTGCTTAAATCTAATAAATGGGAGGGGTGAGCTAGGGAAATGGATTTGCAAGTTGTCCTTTTATGAATGTGTGAAACCTTGCAAAATGCCTCCTTAGTTCTGCTCAGAAGTTGGTCAGCCTGTGCTTAACCGTCTTCAGTTGGACAAAATGGCTTGGGCAGGAATAAGACTGAGCAACTCATTTGTGGAGATAGATGAGGCTTGAGACGTAAACCTGAAGTAAAAAATACACAGGTTTTCTAGTGATCGAATCTTGTTTCTGCCCTTAGGCCCTCCTGAGGTTTCTCCCCCTCACGTCTTCAATGTCAACTAAAGTCCCTGAAAAGTGCTTTTTCGAACATTTAGTGTATCTTTCTTCACTGGCATTGGGAGCTAGGGACATAAAAGAGCCTGGACATTAAAATATATTGCTATATTCACTGTACGTGCATGAATAAAATGACAGCTGTGCTTGCTTGAGGTTTTGGATCTCATACCCTTTCTCCCCCCTTCTTTTTCATACAGCCGAATTTGCGGGAGTCCTTGTCCAGCAGTGTGGCCTGATGTCATAAAATTAGCTTATTTCAACACAATGAAACCAAAGAAGCAGTATCGCCGAAAGCTGAGGGAAGAGTTTGCTTTGTAAGGATGAAGAATAAGTTTAGTCAACTGTAATAGCGTTAAGTACTCCTGGAGACTTTATGAAGTTTCACTGTTTTCTGGAGAATGAATATAGATTAAGTGGCAAGAAAAATGTTTTTAGGTTCTTATCCTTCCCATGATACAGATACAGAGAGCTTATATTAACCCTTACTTAATAGAAGCTTCAAGAAGAGGGAAGAAGGCCCTAAAATTTCAACCACCTGTCAGCTTTTTCCTAAGGAAGCATTTGTTTTCCATGATTGGTACACCTGCTTGTTGTCCCGGTCCAAAAAAAACAGCTCAGAGTACTTAATTGTTCTTTATTAGGACAACTGGCTTGGGCTAACTATGTAGTCTGGTTAACATTACAGTCTTTTGGGTCATAAATTCATTCAGCACCAAGGAGTTATCTGAATCCTGTATTCTGAAGTACTACCACTGGACTACTTTTGTGCAAAGATCACACGTGAAAGTTATGGAAAACAGCTGTAAGCTTATTTTAAAGGGTTTGCTTCCCTCCTTCAGTTACTGGGGGTTGTTTCAGGAGAAATGTATCATCTTGTTTGTACTAATGAGGCTTGTATCTTCGAAGCAGTAGAATTGTTGTCCTTGGACTAGTCAAAACTGCAACTCTCTGGGTGCTAAATTCCAAAGTGTAAAGTAACAATATAGTCTTGCCTTAGAAAGGTGGGGGGTTATAAGGATGGTGTTTCAAGCAATTAACGCAAATCAAAGCTTTGGTTATATGTGTGCATGGGTAATAAAAGGTGAAGTTTATCTCTGCCTCTTACTACCAAGCTCCAGTTGTGATTGGGTTTTGCTAGGATATGAGTTATCTGAGGACTTACTGCTCAGTTATGTTGGAAGAGTTACTTGCACAGAGTGATTCAAAATAAAAATACCCTGCTTTTCTCTGTTTTGCTCTTTTGTAGCATCCCACCAGCTGCATTAGACTTATTTGATTACATGCTTGCCCTGGATCCCAGCAAGCGCTGCACAGCTGAACAAGCTCTTCAGTGTGAGTTTCTGCGAGATGTGGAACCATCTAAAATGCCTCCTCCAGAGTAAGTGATTTCCTTTGGTAAAGGCTCTTACCTGTACAAAACGTGAACGTGCACTCATTTCATTGAGGTCATTGTGTTTCAGGTAAAGTAGGAGGTGGCAGAACAGAACTGTTGATAGATACAGTTGTTTAATGGTGATTCTGCACTAAAACGTTTGTGTAGCTGAATTACTTTTACACCATGATAGCAGTGGTTGTGAGGATCTGAGAACTGTTTCATCTGTTACTCCTAGAACTAGTTACTGAGTACCTTTACAAAAATACTTTTACATGAATGTTTCTAATGTCAAAAAAACATAATTTCTCTGGTGTCTCTGTTTATCAGTGTCTGCTTTTTCCGAGGGTTTTGAGGTCCTCCATGGATCTGAATTGCTGCCTTTGATGGTAGAATGACACTGGGTATAGAATTCTACAAAGGCACCAGAGAGTTAAAATGGAATACCATAAATAGTTTCCTGTGCCAGATAAGATTCTTAGTTTTACAGGCAGGAGTGGTGAATACTTTGTGCAGGGTTTTTCCTGCGGGTTTCTCCAAGAGGAAGTGTATTGCAATTTCCAGTAGGGTTTTTGCAGTGACTTAATTGTCATTTTAATCACTACAAATCATACTGGAACAGGCGCCAAGAAGAACAATGAAAAAGTATTACAGGATCTGCTGATTACATTCTTCCCTCAAGATAGCTGTCAGAACACAGAACGTGTAGTGTTGCTTGAGTAAATCGTGCCTTCAAGGCAGGCTGTACCTGACTTCTTTTTAATTAGCTACCAACTGAGAAAAATGTTTGAATTTTATCTAAAAATTTTATTAAAAATCTCTTGGGACTTACCTATTACATACACATGGTTGTTACTAATGCTCCTGATACATGAAGAGGTTTCATTGTCTGAACATGATGATTATTTTATGTATTATATTGCTGTTTGAGTATCAGTAATCGGCAATTTTAGGCTTTTCACTAAAATCTCAGAACCACTTGTATGGTATGTTGCTAATGTGCTTTTAAAAGTAAGTGAACAGGAAGAAATTAGGGGTTTTTCATGAGCTCTATAGTGAGTGTATCCATTATAGGAGGTGATACATGGAAATTGAAAACAAGTCATTGGTGTCCTTTTAAAGATTAAGAAGAACCACAGGTCTGGCAGAGGATGCACAGGAAAGTGTGAACTGTTCTCCTGGAAAAGGAATGTTCTCCTTTGGGAAGAAACAGCTGAAAAGAAAGTGGCAGTCCTGGTTGCAAGGACTGTAAGATACATTCTTCACAATGAGTTCTTGCTTGCTTCCAGTTGGTTTTGACTAAGTACTTGGCAGGTCTTTGACCTGGTATGCAGAGGGAAACAATAAAGGAAGCAGTTGTCCTAATTGCCTTTCCTTGAGGCATCTGTCCCCTCATTTGTCATCTGTCACCTGTCACCTAATTTTTCCATATTCCTTCCTAGGTGAGGGAAGTGATCAGACAGTTACTGATACATAATAGGAAAACAGAGGGCACTATTTTTACTGCCCCAGTGTTTGTTATCTATGGGACGGGTCTCTGTTCCTTAGGAAATCAGGATTGAGATGCCTGCAGGGAACTATAATGGAACAATAGAACTGGTGACAGATGAGTTCCTTAGATTTTTGTCTCTGCCTTTATCTGTCTTTTAAAGGACTGGAATATCCCATGTTGTTCCTAGTATCTGAGCTTTGCTAGTTGTAAATGCTGTTTATTCATGCTACTTACTCTTGAAACCTTTTTCCCTTCCCTTCCACTCACTGTCTTGGTTGTCTGTGCTGTACAACTAGATGGCCATGTCTGTTACTGCAGGTAATACTGGAACTCATGAGGCACTAGTACTTTTACAAGTAGTCAAAAGGAATGGGTCACCCATACCCTGAAAAAAAGCATTTTCATATTCATATTAGTCTGTTATCTGTTACTCTGCAAATTCTGTTTCAAAGCAAGTGTGCAGCATTGATGTTGGAAGTCTTGAATTACACAAATAACTAGGCTTTTCGTAAGTGCGAATGCAAGAAAACGACATTGGTTCTGATTTCAAGATACGTGTTCCCCTTTTCTGCCAGAGGGATCTGTGCTTCTGAAATAGGCAGTCCGTGCAGCCAGAAAAAACAAGTCTGAGATTTTGCTGGCTTTGAGTGTTTTCTCATGTGCCTGAATTCGGTAGATCAATCTTTCACAAGTTACTTTATGTATACCTTGAGTATTTATTTTACCAACATGGTTAAAAACGTCTGTGATAAAACTGATTATTTCTAATCCTTCTTTCAGCCTTCCTTTGTGGCAAGATTGCCATGAGCTTTGGAGTAAGAAGCGCAGAAGACAGAAGCAGATGGGCATGACTGATGACTCAACAGCAGCTAAAGTCCCTAGGAAGGATCTGTCTCTCGGCATGGATGAGAGCAGAACCAACACCCCACAAGGCATGCAAACTTCTTCCCAACTCAAAACTCAGGGCAACTCTAGTGTAGCACTTGGTCAGTAATATTTTCAGTTCTTATAATTACCTTCTACTTGGATTGCACCTCTAGAAATCTTAGATGTTGTGTTCAGAGTACTGACGTCCCCTGGATTCTTGAGGGAGGAGCAGTATTGTAAGTTAAATCTTTGTTACGAAAGATTTACCTTTGCTTTTGGAAACTAGGTGTTCCTTTTAAGTTATTTTTGCAATCTGGTCAGAGCAACTACTTTGCTCTATATTTTGAGAGAATTTTATCTCTTGCTTATCTGTAATTCTTCACTAATCCCACAAGCCAGCTGCTGCTCTAAATTCCTTGCAGTCTCCATAGATTGGAGGAGCTTTACTTGGTACTGATAAACTGACCAGAAGGCAGATTTTTGGGACAATCATAATTTCAGATGAAATAGATGCCCTTTGCGTGTTACGTTACTCTTGGCTTTCCAAGTTGGGGCTGAACCGAGTTGTAAGGAAATAAACATAAACCTCCAACCCAAAACGTGGTATAACAAGAAGTAGCTACCTGTGTAGATTGCACAACTGTTAATTCTGAAACTTAACCAAAGGATCTTGCTTGAGACCAGTTTTATGAATATAATATGAAAAGTAATGGTTTCCTGTGTGGACACCATTTGAGATTCTTAGTAGCTCATGATAGTTCCTTCATAATATGTAGAAATACACAGACTAACAAAACCTAACTGAATAGCCAATAAGGGTAATTTAGACCATCTCTGATTGTGCAAAGTGACCTTAAACGCCATGGTGCTGATACAGGAGCGAAAGAAACACAATAAATGCATGCACGGAGCCTTAATGTTCTTTGATACTAACCATCTTGAATCAACTTTTCATTTAACAGTAGAGCAGAGCTCTAAATACTCTGTGCAGAGACATATAGAAAATAATATCTTTTGATCATATTTTACTGCAATTTATTGCCTCTTGCTCCTGTTCATCCTGTTTCGCACCATAAGCCAGCTGTGAGCTTCTGCCACCCCGTATGTTTGGCTTAAAGTTTTGGCAGCATTTTCAAGCATGACTTTCTGTAGCCCTTAATATTTTTCCCCCCACAAATGAAATCTGTATAGAAGTTAAAGGATAATATTTATTTTCTTTGTACTTCTTATAACAGGTGGCCTGATGAGAGACTACTATTAGTCATTAATACTAGCTATGTAACTAAACAGAGAAGGAATCGTTCAGACCTATACTGCTATTTGCCCATATGCACATAAAGAAATATATCTAGGTAGAAAAGAAGGCAGTTTAATTTTTGAGAGAGTTTAGACAATTTAGCATAGAGGTGTCTTCTGTGCTAAGCAAAACACTTGTGAAACCCATAACTAGGTAATATTAGATAATATCAATAAGGCACACTAAAAAAGTCCATGTACAAGCGCATGCTTGAAAAACTGTTGCACCCCAAAATAAGAGGTTAAAAACCACCCTGAATCAGCTGCTAAATGTTCTTATTCACAAGTGGGACCCCTGGTGATTGCATCTTAAAATTTAACAGGAGCTATGAGAGCTCAGTAATTCTGTTCTGATAGAAACTGCCAGATTTCCCAGGACACAGTTTGCTCTTGGAATGGGCTTGAAACTAACCAAAGAGTATGGTTAGGATAGGTGTATATAGGTAGGTTAGTTTCCCTGTTTGGCATCTTTCTGCTGAATTTTTGCTGAGATCCTGAGAAGAGTGTGAGTGGTGAGCAGACTGTCCTCAGACGTTACAAAATCCACTGTTAAACGTGACATCTGAGTGAGAGCCAGCAGTACAAGGCCTTAGAAATTTTCTATGTATTGCCAAAGAGATGATTTTATATATATAAATATATATAACAGAAATATATATTATAATATAAATATATATAAATATATAAATATGAAATCATTGAAGTCCCTGGACCCTGCCTGAATAGGGTTCCAAGTTCTTGTATCTTGGTGCACATCCACAAGTAGGGTAATGGGTTTTTGGTTTTGTAGCATTTTCCAGCTGTCCTGCTCTTAGTCTTGCAAGGCAAATACTTAACTTTTTTGTGTCTGTAACTGTTCATGCTTTGAATCTGCTATGAGTTAATACATTGGTGAATTAGCCGAATCAGGGATAGAAGAGGACAGAATGTGTAGCATTTTCCTGCTACTGGGTGATTGATGACTTGTCCTTCAAACTCAGCACTTGCTTTTGCATTTATGCTTGCTATCTTCTGCGTCACCTAGAGCCTGGTCACTTGAGCAGGTGTTAGAATCCAGATGCTGAATTAGAACAGGCCAAAATATGACTGGAAATGCATTTTGCAGATGGCCACTTTTTAACAGAGGGATGTGATATGTCAAAGATAGGGAATTTTGCGGGAATTGGAAATCTTACAGCTGCCTAAAGCAGGTGGCCTTAAGCCCCAGCTTAGTTGTGTTGTGTTGTGGAAAATTGAGCTCCAGCTTGATATTTCTCATCTGTCCAAGTGTGTGTGCATACCCCTTGGAAGTCACTTTCTTTATGTTGGATCTTCCCATTCCATTTCCTATAGGTACTCCCCCAGAGGCAGTTAATATGTAAAAGCATTCTATTCCTGTGTTGTCCAAACTCATGCTTTGCCAGTTCATGTCAGCCATGCTAGATTAGTCTTTTGAGTTTCTGAAATATGCCAGTTCTAAATAATACTTAAAACCACCTTTTTTGTCTTTAGCTAAAACAAGCACTGGACAGCAGTTAAACCAGAATGAAGTGGCAATCCTGCTAAACCTGCTACAGTCTAAAACAAGTGTTAGTTTGGCACAGTTTGCCCAAGTGTTGAATATTAAGGTAAACCCAGAGACTCAGCAGCAACTAAATAAAATAAATCTTCCTGCTGGAATTTTGTCAGCAGGTGAAAAACAGTCAGAACAGCAGCAGCAACCACCGCCGCCACCACCACCGCCACCAGAGCAGGAGCCTCTCAAACAGCCGACGGTCACCCAGCCTCCTGTACCGCCTGCTCAGCTGAATCAGCCTAAAGTTGAGACTGATGCTGCCCAGGCAGCTGTGCAGAGTGCATTTGCTGTTCTGTTGTCTCAGTTAATAAAGGCTCAGCAAACAAAACAAAAAGATTTTGTGTTGGAGGAGAAGGAAAACGGATCAGGAAATGAAATGTCGTTACCACTCAGGCAGCCTCCAGAGCCTACCACTCCTGTGTCTGTCAGCCGGGAGGACGTGGAATCTCCAGCACCCAGCTACCCACATCTGATCAAGTCGTTATATACATCTGCAGGTACTGAAGGTCTTTATTGCTAACTGGCAGATACCTTGAACAGTGGGAAATGTCATGATTTGGGGATAAAGAGTTAACATGTTAACCATATGAGTTGGTGTGAGTGTGGGAGAGCTGATTCAGTTGGTTTTGTCACTCTTTACATATGGATCATAGAACTTGTGTTTCACTGTAGCAGGTACCATGCAGACAGAGCAAAAGATGATCCCTACTCTAAGAGATACAGAAGTGCTGGTAGTATTTCTGATGAAGCAGTTACACTGATCACTACTCTGGAGATTTGAGGTTTTGTTAGTGGTGTTTGTGGTACAGAACACAGTCTTCTCTAGGAATTTCATAGATGGAATTTGCTAATTTTGACTGTGTTTAGGTAAAGCCTATTTTAGGGAGAGGCTGTTTTAATTTTGTTCTTAATGCTGACCAGAGCAAGTTCTCAGTGTCAGATTCTGTAGGAGATTACTCCTGTCGCTCTAACACGCATGACTGAAGGTTACCACTTTGGTATATTAGTGGCTTCCTTAGTCATCTCAAAGTTTAGAGTTCTCTGTTGACCTGTCTGGGTTCCTATTTCAGTTTCACTATATGTTGATTTATGTATTGCTCTGGGGTGGTTGGAGCTGTTGAAAGCACTCTGAAGTGTTTTAGGGCTTTTTTTTTTTCCTTTGAGTGGCCTTTTGTCCCTCAAGACTTCTGTTCCTATCTGCAAATCTTTTGTTGACCCCCCTCTTTGAATTTTCTAGTATTTATGTGTTTGTCAAGTTTTATTTGTGATTTTTTTGAGTGTGGTTTTTTTTTTTTTGTTTAAGGAGCTTGTGTCATTTTCCTTTAACTACTTGCCTGTTAATCTTACTTGGAGGAGAAACCTGCATCACCCTCCTGAGGCAAATGAGCTGTTGCCCTCCCTAAAATAATCTGACCACCTACCAATAGATTTAAACAATAAGTTGAATGAGAATTGACGTAACAAAACGTCTGCATCGTTTGAGGAAAGAGTCCTCTTCCTTCCTGGTATTGTTATTGTGTACTTTTATTCCAAAGCTTTTCTTTCTCATGTGCGTAGGTCAAGAGGATTTGGTTAGGCAACCTGAGATGAGGCTTCTAAACCGAACACCCGAACAAGAGCGCCCTCGGATCTTGCCTCCAGACCAGCGTCCCCCAGAGCCACCGGAGCCTCCGCCTCTCACTGATGAAGACCTTGATTATCGGACAGAGAACCAACATTTGCCTATAACTAACTCTTCAGGAACAGATCCTCACGCAGGAGTGAAAGCAGCCCTTCTGCAGCTGCTTGCTCAGCATCAAGCTCAGGCGACAACAGAGGAGCCAGTACAAACGAGCGTGGATTATCAGCCTAGGGAATCCTACGTACCAGGCCCAGACTACAAGGATAACTTTGGATCGTCTTCCTTCTCATCTGCCCATTATGGCAGTAGTGATGGAATCGGAAGCGGATCATCAGGAGCATTAGAAAGGAGGAGCTTCCTTGGAAACTCAGATATTCAGTCTTTGGATAACTACAGTACTGCTTCATCTCACTCTGGTGCTCCCCCTCCTCCGTCGGCCTTTTCAGAATCCTTTCCAGGCTCAGTAACTGGTTATGGAGACATTTACCTCAACGCTGGCCCCATGCTATTTAGTGGAGATAAAGACCATAGGTTTGAATACAGCCACGGCCCTATCCCTGTTCTGGGCAGCAACAGTGATGCTCCTGTGGGGCCAGAGAGCACGCACTCTTTGCCCACAAAGATGCATAACTATAGCTTTGGAAGTAACTTACAGGAAAACCCCGGTGGCATCGGCCACATGCATGGACAGACTTGGACTTCTCCTGCCCAAGGACCTGGCTATTCCCAAGGATACAGGGGACACATTAACACATCTGCAGTGAGAGGGCGAGGCAGAGGATTACCATATTGAGTATCTGTTTTTCCTCAGGCACATCATTTTTATCTGGAAAAACTTCCATGGTTTTAGTTTGGTTTTCGTTTATCTTGTTCCCTCGCTGCAGTTTAAAGCAGCAATTCAGCAGACTTGAATAACGTTAATTCAACAGCTTTATTTTTATGTGGAAAAGGGTCTTGCATACAGTAGGAAAAATGACAAACGCTTCAAACTCATGCTGTCTGAAACGTAGATAAATCGATTGTACATGTTCACAAACTCGCTCTGGATTTTATTTTGTATTTTGGCCGTTTTAAGTGGATGCTAAATTTAGGGACGTCAGCTTTTTATGGCACTCTTTCAGATCTTCTGAACTATGCACATTTGTGCTTTTTTTGTAAGTTTGGACCAACTTTTATGTAAAGAAAAAAAGGAAAAAAAAAATTTTACAACAATCAAAGCAGGGCACTGATTTCTTTGGTATTTTTCTTTTTACCGAGCTACCTTTAGTCAAAGGTCACTGTCAGTCTTTGCACTGCTTTCAGTGTTATTGTGGAAGGTGTACTTTGTGCTCATTTCAGAGAATAAACCACAACCTTTCTCTTGATGCAAAGTTTTATAAATATTTGGTCAATGTTCTCTTTTTTTTTTCTTTTAAGAAAAGAGAAAAAAAAAAAAGAATGGATGTTCTGGTAAAATGTTCTCTCCATCTCCCAGGCTTGTTTATATAAAAACTGTTTTACTTGAATGGTAAGTGCCTTAACATGGAAGCTTAAGGTCTGCAAACATTTGGAAGTACTTCATAGATCGATAATAAATTAATCCCTAAACCTCAGTAGTTAACATGGAAATTCAGATAATAATAGGCAACTGAAATAGGTCATAACTTTGTGCTGTTTACTTCAGGTGGGCCAGTTATTTAGAGACCTGATCTTTCCTTGATGAAGTATCGTTCCCAAATTGATCATCATGAGAAAACAGTGGAAGTGAGGAGAAGAATTGAGTGTAGTTTTTCCTCAGCTCCCTCCTGGAGTTGTAGTAAGTGTTTTAGTTCCTCTGCCAAATGAACTATACTTTGTATGTCCTTACCAAGTGATGAAATAGGGTTTTCTTTTCTCTTAAACGTCAACAGCAGTACCTTACTTTGTGTGAAGAGCTGACACTGTCGCCTTTTTCCCACAAATACTGCGTTTATAGGAAGTAACCAAAGGAAAAATGACCAGTATTTAACGCAACAGCAGAATGTTTTGACGCTAGTTCTGATCCTCTGTAAATTTGTGATTGTGCCAATTAATCGCTTTGATACCTGCCATTCCACAGAACATTTAAAGATTGGAATCGGGTCTCTCTGAACACCTGATCAAATGACTGTAGTTCAAACTCCTACCAAGAGCCACTCGTATTAATTACAACTTCCAGCCTGTTTTTCTTTTCCTTTGACAACAAGCGGTCTCTCTCCTGCAGAGAGGAGGTATGGTTATATTTTGCATGTACGTAAAAGAATGTTTTAAAGCCCATATTGGAAACAGTCTTCCAACTGATTATCCAGTTGACAAATCGGTACCTTATGTAACTGAGTGTTTAATTATTACTTTTAAGAAAGTAAAATTTCTACTTACACTATCACAAACGTAGTCTTGTCAGTGACTTTTTGGATTACTCAGAATAGAAGCCAAAGTTGTTGGTGTTTTGTTTTTGTTTTAGTTGAAAATCCTGGTTCATACATGGCTTAACTACCACTTTGTAGAGCATGGAGAAACTCCCTTCGCTAACTACGTAGCGTTTGAGGATCTGGCAAATGAGAAGTGGGGAGAGAGTCATGCTGCTTCCGACGGCCCTGTAAGTCTGGCAGTTGCTTTCACTAGACACAGTAGAAAATCCAGTGATCTGAAAATAAAAGCAGCCTGGTCATAAGCATTACGGATATGACCTGAGTAACCTGTGCTTAATTACAACAGAAGCTTCACATGTGAACTAGTTTTCCTTGAGTAAGGATACCCCCTGTAGCATTTTTCTGCCAGTAAGATTTTAAAGGCAAACCTCATTAGTTTCATTTAGCTATGGACAGTGTCAGCTGAGGCTTTCTGTTTACAAACCTTAACAAAGCCAGTCCCACAGTAATGCACACAGATTGCTTTTTGTCAGAATGAAGCAAGACTGGCAGAGCTTTTAGGCAGTTGCTTTCACTAGAACCGTGCAGTCTGGTGTTACTTTCCTGCACTTCAGCTGTAACTGCAGGTGACAGTTGCCTAAAAAAAGCAGGTAAGTTCACATGGAAGGTGGATCTGAGAGGACTAAATGGTTTGATTTCCAATACAGAAATGCAAGGAAGACATCCTGCTGCTTCCCTTTCGGAGGTAAATTTTCAAGTCCTTTAGTTCACCTCATTTAATGCAGAGAAGTCAAGTCCCCTCTGCACATGTAAATGACAGTGCAGCTCCTTAGGGGCTCTGATCTTGCATCATTCCACCAAAATGGATTTCAGTCTTTGGCCGTGAAAAACCCCAACCAGAACAGCACGAGTAATCCTATGAGGAGAAGCAATAGACAGCTGAACTTGCAGATGAATCAAAACCAGAACTGGCATGCTGTGGCAGCTGCATACTGCACAGTGACTTTTCCCCAAATTCAGTGTAAGGTTTACTACTAGCCTGTGACTTTGAACACTCCGTTTGACTGGGGCAACAGTGTTGGGATAATTTGGAGGGAAAGATCACGTATTTCCATGTGTGATAACTGATGAGAATCACCTTCTCTGCAAACCAGGGGATCGTTTTGGCTCTGACAACCTTTCTCCCTGGGCTGGGCAGGGAGAGGCTGCGCATGGGCTGTGTATGGGTTAGGAGCCCTTCTGTCGTCCGTCTGCAGGGCAGCCCTTGGGATGCATGGCAGGAGGATTTATCCCTGACCCCAGAGCTGTGTCTAGGCAGGTCAGCAGTCAGGGAACGGGACGGATTTAAGGACTGTAGGTCCACGTTCATTTGTCCTGGGCCTGTGTATGACCTATGGAAACTCCCTTTGAATCAAACCCCATGACAAGGTGCTTATATCAGTTCAGAGTTTTACCCTTCGGAGCAAATTCCACTCGGCAGAGTGGGTCTGTGCTAGTTTGGCAATTTACATCGCGTGGCTCTTGCGTTTTCTGATGCAGTTGTAGACCTAAAATCAATGTTGTTTTTTCTGTGGAGCCGTGGCTTTTGTTACTTCCTCCCCCCCCCCCCCCCCAGTTCCTTTTGGGTTTATGTTTTCCATGCTGCAATTCCAAAGTGTGCTACAGAGACCTGGACACTACATCGAAAAGTAAGTGTTGTGTGTTTGTATTCCTAAATAAACATAGCAAAATACTGTAATCATGGACTACCAAGTAGCAAGTACTTCATTGTTTATATTCAGTGGTCTTTAGCCATACCAAGAGGCACGAAGTGAGCACGACTGGACTGCTATGACCATGACTTAAAACGCTTAGACTAATGTAATACGCTTAAAACCAGCCAAAGGAAAAGGAAACAGCTTTTATCCTGGATTGCTAGTTATCATCTTGAACAGAAGGAGCAGTGTTAGGGAAAAGGTGTAAAAATACGTGTATCCTTAAATGTTAATATAATTTCTTGGGGGAAAATTAATTTTTAGAAGGCAAACTTCTATATTTTCGTTATGTTTCCATAAAACATGGTCAGTGTTGAATTTTCTCCATAGCACAGTAGCGAGGTGCTCCCTCGAAGCAGAGGTGCTTCTGGAAGCGCTGTCATGTCGGTTCCTTTGGGTTTTGAGTGCTCTTCTCCTTTTGCTTGGTGCAGGAGGCAGTTTCAGTTTTGGTGAAGTTTACAGTGGGATGAGTTTAATAGATAATTGTGCAGTACAGACCGAAGTAACATAGGATACCTCTTGTCTGCGGGCAAATTAGGTCTCAGACCATGGATTCTGGTTCCCAGAGAGAAAAATCTCACATGTATTTCCTGCATTCTTCTTTCTGTTAATAAAACACGCAACTGTTTTACATACCCCATTTCTCCAGTCTGTTCTGTTACACTGGTTCTATTTTACATGGGGAAATTTTGGCCGTTTCCCTTCTTAATAGTTTCGGGATGTTCTATATATGCGGAAGTGTGTCATGAAACTAAGGAATCACCAGAGAACTGATTTGAATCGTGTATTTAAAAACGAAACGACCTTGGGTTGACTTAAAATCAAACTAACTTTTGCTTATCAGGGTGAAGAATACTTTCTTGCAGGAGTTATTTCGAGACAACCTAATTTAAAATAATCAAACTGTTATGCTTCAGCTTGCTTACTCTTTGTTATTTTAAGCCATTTGTATATAAAATGTATTGTGCGGCCTGTAAATAAAGTACATGAAAACTCGAAGCCTTTCATTGTTTTCCCTCTCTGTTTCAGAAGAACGTTGGTGTTTTTTAAGCATCCAAATGAATATAACTTTTGGTGTGTTAAAAGTTACTTATTTACAGCACCAGTAGCACTGCTAAGGAGAACTGCAGTGACTGGTGGGCCCAGTGCTTGTTGCTGGAGTCGTGTTTAATGCCATGGTTTTAGTTAGTGCTGTCCAAGCAGAGGCGCAGTTCATGTTCCCCACCGCTGTCTTTTTAAAGAGGGTGGTGTGCGTGTTAGAAGCAACAGGAAATCAAACCTGAAGAGCCGGGTATTCTCGGTGTCTGGCTACGTGCATACGCTGCCGGTGACGTGCGGTAAATGGAGCGTGGCTTCAGCAACTGCGCCCTGAATGCCTGAGGCTTCTCTCATTTTTCCCCGCTGCATCAGCTCGTCTAATGAAAGCGCTCTCATCTTTCAGTAAACGCCATACTGACGGCCAAAAATAGGCACCTGCTGTATCTTTGGTAGTCTTACAGCCCAGGTTGGACAGCCGGCTGCTGTCATCGCTTCGGTAGCTTGTCACTGATACAGCCAGAAGATGGGTGGTGGTGGTGCAATAGGAAGTCACAGGGCCCAGCAGCAGTTACGTGGGTGTCATTTGGCATTAGGCTGGTGAAATGCATAGTTGTAGCTCACAGCATCTTGCTTTGGACAGAACGCTTTGGCACCAGCTACAATTAAACCTGGGGTTTACTTCTGGTGCCCGGGCTGCGTGAGGTACGACTTGCACACAGCAGATCAGGCAGAATCGTGAAACGATGTCTAGTTGTCTGCTCTGGTTCTTGTTAAAGCTGCTATTGCAACTAGCAACGTGCCAAAGTTGGCTCTGGTTTATGTTGGAGCACGAACCTGTCATGGTTTGAGAACGGTGCTGCGTCCCCTTCATTCAGCTGTCGGTGCCATATGGCCGGCAAGCTGTGCAGAAAGGCACCAGCAATAATTCCACTGGGATCTGCACGCGAATCAACATCCTCAGCTGCACATAGAACAGCGTCAAGAGGAGAGATGCAAATAACTGCAGAACAGCAGCCTGCATCAGCAAAGAGCAAGGAGTGTGGCTGTGAAATGAGTGGCAAGAGAGGAAACAAACCCCGCCGTGTCCCAGGCATGAGTTACTGCGTGTTAGCTCTGAGAGAGCCACGCAGGACTGCAGAAACTCCTGTTAAATCAGCTGAACCGGGATTAGGTGGTTCCTGTTTTGAAGGAATGCTTGTAAGCCCTGACAGCCCATTCGCGTGAAGGGGACTGCAGCTACCAAACTCCCCTGTCACACAGAAGAAAATGCAAGTCACAGCTCTTGGCAGCAACAACAAACAAGGGGAGAGCGAGCTCTGTCTGGCAAACAAGGGGAACTGTTTCTTTTCCCAGACAACTGCATTCACTTCCACAGAGCTTGAGGGGTTTGCTTTCAGGGCCACTTGCTCATTAGGGCTGCTTATTTTGGGCTCTTTTTATTGCCCGTGGAGAAAACTCACAGTCACTGTGATTTAATTCAGGAGGAACCTTGAGCCTGAGCCTTCAGCGGTGTTTGCTTTCTCTTCAGCTATAGCAGCCCTTGCTAATAGGCAACACTGGGGTCGCTTTTCACAGCATGGCTCCAGTTCTGCTTCAGCAATTCCTCTCTGGGTACTTCAGACCTACAATTGATATGGCAAATGCTTATAATGTGATGAATGCATCTTTTAACAGGGACTCCTTGCAAAGAGGCTTTGTGGAGATTGTTTTAGGTATTGGAAAATACAGTATAGAGAAATAACTGGGTGGAAAAGGGAACACTTGAGTGGAGCCTTTATAGAAACCAGCCTGGGAGCTTCTGGTACTTGCACAGCAGTGTGCTGCCCCTAAGGTAATCTGGGGGGGTTCACTGGTTTCTGTGGTTAGTGTCTTGACTTGTGCAGATGTGTGTCCCTGCTGTTCTCCCTCTCACGTGCTAGGGTATGGTAGGAGTTGCTAGAGGATGTGGCTGGAAGTGAGCATTTAATGCACAGGTCTAGCACAAGTCGGGGCCTTTTTTCTTTCCTCCTGCCCGTTCTTTCCAGACCTATTTTACAGATGGGTGAAACATGCTCGCAGGTTCTGACATGGGGGACAGCCATTGTTCTCTGCCTTTTCAGATGTCTCCTTGGTTTTGTGCAGGTGGCAGTGGTAGGGAAGTACTGCTGTTTGCTTGCTCTCCTGTGGAGGCCTCTCTGAGCATCAGTACAAGAGCCAGTGCTGGTTTTCCTCTTTGCTCTGAGCAAG